CTCCAGATGTAGTAGCATATATTTGAATAACAATTGTGTTAGTGAGTCTTTCTTGTATTCATATGGATATTATCCTGTCCTTCACAACATTATATATATATATACACATACACACACACACATATGCAGAATTTGAAGAAAGAAAAGAGTGGAAATTGAATAGATTTTTATGTCAACAAGGCTATCTCCACCCAACTCACTGAAATAAACAGTATTGAGTTTTTAAAAGGAATAAGGAGTATTAATAGAGAATGGTTACTTTCTTTCATAAATGTTGTTTTTGTTAAGTGCCATTGAGTCATAGATGACTCATAGCAACCTTATGAACAAAGACCTGAACACTTGTATAACTTTCATTGTTTCTCCAAGTTCATAGAGTTTCCAGAAACAACATTTCAGAAGTGGTGGATGCCACTCCTGCTTCCAAGCTTGTTTTAATCTGGGAGCTCCACCAAACACTGTCCACCATGGGTAACCATTACTGAAACTGACACATCAGTGTCCAGTGTGTAGCATCACAGCAACCACGAGTTACCTCCGTACAGCAAATGGACAGACCAGTACTATACCACTTAGAAGAATGTTTAACTAAAAACAATTAAAACCAAGCTTGAGGGCCCACAGATTAAAGTCACCCACCTTTGGCTTGGTGGGTGAAATAACTTTCTATTCAACTAGGCCAATAGAGATATGTAGCTAAAATACTTGTTTATTAAACGAAATATAGCAAGTCTGAAATGATAATATTTAGCCAGAAAAAAAAATTCCTAAAAATCTCTCTCTTTTTCTCTTTAGATCAACAATTCTGTCTTCTCAACAATATGTAAGGACATAAAATGAATGTAAGAAAGGATAGTACTTCAACTATTATAAAATACTTTATGAAATACAGTTTTTAGAAGGAAAACTTTGAGTCACAATCTATATAACTTTTTACTTATTTGAAAGTTTTTGTCTAACAAACAAAATGCTGAACATTTATTTTAAAATAAAAGCAAAAAATATGTAATTTTCTTGAAATGGATAATTTGAAACGTCCTAAAATTTTTCAGTGTCTATAGAAGGATAATTGACGTCTTTGAGCTGTGGTG